GGCGTAATAAAGGCCAATGGAACTAGAAAAATCACTAATGACTTTTAAAGCGCAATAATTATCGATATACATGTATGCTTCTGAATACATTTGACTGTTGCTTGTTGATCACACCATTTGACGCCCTGTAAAGTCCACTTTAAGCGCTTGGCAAACATTCCGTTATGCTGAGCTATTAGCCTAGCCACTCCACTCCGTTCCCGTAAAAATTGCGTTAGCCATCGTCGGGCCTGCCCCATCCCACTCACGCGCTGCGAACGCATTCAGTGGCGCATGGTGCTGCGCCCAAAAATAAAAATAATAAAAATACAAAGCAACAAAACAAAAATATATATAAAAAAGAAGCACTTGAAAAACTTTGCAATCAACGCGGCGGACTGATTACAATGCCCGGGCAGCGCAGTCAGCGGAGACGGCAGCGCAGCTCCACCGAATGGAGAGAGCGAGAAAGAGAGTGGGTGAGGGTACGTGCACAAATGTGCAATGTGCGTGGAGTTTCGCTGGAGTCAAAGTGCTAGCTAACACACACAGACACACGCACACACACACAGATATCCGCACACAGACACACCCATGCATGAATCCAATATATTTTCGCTTTGGCATTTGTTGCGTTTCGAGATGTTTGTTTGGACGGCGTTGTATTATGTTTGTGTGTGTGTGATTGACAGTTGCCCCATTGATAAGAGCTGGCGTTAGCCATGGTGGACAGGGGGAGGACGCGGCAGTCGTTTCATATTTTTTATAATTGAAATGCGGCTGCCTAAATGCAGTCAAAAGTTATGCGAGCCTAAAAAAACAACGAAAAAAAACCACAAAAAAAATATGATACGCATACGCAGCTAAACAACAACAGAGAGAACAAGAGGAAGAGAGAGGCGAGACGGCGGCGACGATGACGATGACGCTGCATAAAATGCAAGCACAGCGACAGTTGAGCGTCGGCCTAAAGGTATGCTACAGAAGGAAAAAAATTGCATAAAGCATCGGCAACAACAACAACAACAACAAAAACGACGACGACGACGACGACGACGACGCAGCGAGCAGGCAAATGAAAATATGAAGGCGACTGTGAAGTAGAAGGAGCATAGGCACAGCAGCAATATAAATATGGAGCGAGAAGGAGAGAGCGCGAGAGTGAGTGAGCGGGCAAAGTCAGACGTGTGGGTAAGAGAAGCTTACAAAAAAACACACACACACATGTAAATAAAGAAGGTATTTGTTTCAAAATTAAATACGCACGTGTAAAAGTGTGTGTGTGTGTGCAACTGCAGTCTGTGCATGAAAGCAAAGGGTAAAAGAAAGCAAAAGTTGTTGCTGCTGTGGATGTTGTCTTTTTGCGCTTATGCGCCGTTATTATTTTTATTATTCTTATAATTTCTAGACGTGCCCAAACAGAGCGAGTAGCAAGATGAAGAAGAAGAGCGAGAAAAACGAAAAAAAAAAGGAAAAAAGGAAAGTGTAAAAGCAAAAGTATTTATGAAGCGGCAAATGCGGCTAGGCTAAGCTATGCAAAGAGAGCGGCAACTGGGATAGCGGAGGAATAAGAGAGTGGCAGAGCGGGCGAGTGGTGGAGAGTAAGAGCACAGTCATTTGCATATGTGTGTGTGTGCGTGTGTCAGCGTCAATGTCCGACAACGACTCCAGACACAGTCGCGTGTGTGAGGCTCTGCTACCTTTTTTGCTGCTATTTATTTTTCGGTTTTTGTTTTTTTTAGATAAATTTTTATTTGAATTTATGCACATGTGCGTTGCACGTGTGTGTGTGCAAGTAATGCGCTACGCAGCATTTTACGGCCATTGCAGGCTAAGCAGCTGCAGTTGCAGCTAAAAAACTTTCAAATTTAGCCTAATATAGATACACGGACAAGCATTGATTGTCCTACATGAATAGCTATCGGTAACGATCTGCAAATATTTATCGTTATTGCTAAGACAGACATATAGCGCCTACAGCCAGTTGAGCTAGTCGAACATTGTCAACGTGTTTGGCTTGCCGACTGCATTCGTTGCGTTGCGTGTCGCTTGGGGTCGCACACAGCACGTTATCCTCTCTATGTATATGTGACTCTGTGTGTGCTTCAATCCTACCCATCCCCGGCCCTATCGTGCGTCGCTTAAATTCGTCAAGCGTTGCAACAAAGTGCGTTTTGTACTTTTTCTTTGCACTGGCGACGGCGACGACGCTGTCGTCGTTGTCGCTGTTGACGAGCACGGCGAAAAAAAAAACACACACACACACAAAAAAGAAATGGCAAAAGCTTTCGCCGTATACACACACACACACATGTGCACACACGCACATGCAGGAGCAGAGCCAAGAAATATAATAAAAACGACAGCAGCGACTATATTTTTGTTTTTGTTTTCGTCCGTTTTTTTCTTGCTGCTTGTTCACAAAAAATGTTCGCTTAAAAAGGCAGAAGCGGCGACATTTTAACAGCGAGGGGGGATCGCAAGCGTGTGTCGAAAAAGAAACAAACGCGGAAATAAGAGAAAATCGGAAGAAGAAAACGTAATGTGAAAATATATATATTTGCCGGAAGCTAAATGTGTTTTTTTGGTTTTTTTATTTTTTTTTGCTGACATCGCTGCGACGCTGCTGTCGCTGCTGCCGTTTGCGCTCTCCTTAAATATGGCAAGTACAGTTGTGCTCGCTGCGCCTAAATGCACGCTTCAAGCATTTTCCACTGGCTGCCAAATTATTATTTTATCTAGCCAACAAGGGGCGGCAGCTTATTCTGTCTGTCACAAAGGATTCGCCTTATCAATGCGAAAATATTGAAATTGAAATTGAAATTGAAAAACTGTAATATGTTTTATTTAATTATTTTCGAATGCATTTTCCTGTTCGTTTTGCGACATTTTTCTCATTTGCCCCGCTGGCAGTTTGTATTGTCGCTGGTGTCATAAATTATGGGAGTCCATGAGGGAAAAGAAAAAAGAAAAGTCAGAAATTTGAAACACGAAATGACAAAACAATGAACGAGGCCAAATGGCAGTGTCTGCCGTATGCTCGACTCTCTATGCGCTTCTCATGCTGTTAAGTGAGGTTAGTTTTCACTGGCATTTACAATGCTAAGCAAATTTAGTTCTATATCTGTATATGCCCAATTTCAACAGAAACGCTGCTCTCTATGCGCTTCTCATTGTGAAAAGTGAGGTTAGCTTTGATGCATAAAGAGAAACGTTAACATATAGTTTGCCAGTGCAGGGCATATGCAGCAGCGCATATGCTTCGGCTTAGACGAGGCCGTACGTTGGCCATATTGAAAATTATAGTGTCGTAAACATGCAACTGCAATAGCCACGAACAACAACAACAACAACAGCAACAACACTGGGCTCGTGGCAAAAAAATTAAATTAAAATAGAAAACAAACTCTCGAACATGGTCAGCAAATAAATAAAAAATAGCCGGGCTAAAAAGGCTAAAAAAGGCCAAAAAACGAAAGCTTTCGGTGGACGGAGCCAAAGCGAATTGCAAGCGGAAATTGCAATGGCAATGTGTGTGTGTGTGTGTGTGTGAAGTAACGAAATCCGCTGGCCACACAAAAACAACATTAGAAACCAATGCAAACTAAGCTGAAACACAAAAAGAAAACAAAGAAACGAGAATGAAAGAGAGAGAGAGAGAGAGCGAGAGAGGAAGGAAGGGAGGGAGAAATGACATTTTGCTGTGCGAAAACTTATTGCACAGAGTGTTTACTATATAGAATATATATATATATATATATATATATATATATATATATATATATATATATATATGTATGTATGTGTATGTGTGTGTGTGTGTGTATGTAGCTAAGTTTACAAAGTGGAGGAGTGTGTGTGTGTGTGATAGAGATAGCAATACGTATAGACAAAAATACGAGTGTTTTTAGATAGAAAGAGAGCGCACTACTACGTGGAACAACAACAACAACAACAAAGAATTTAAAAGAAGAAGAAATAAGTATAATATATATATATATATATATAAATATATAAATATATAGATATATATATATATAGAGAAACATATACAATGAGAACTTCAACTGAACAACTAACTAAAGATATATATATATATATATATGTATACTTATATATATATATATATATATATATATATAGATGTGTGTATATATAGATATTGATTATTTAAAGAGATAAAAATACATATATATATATATAAACATATATACATATATATATATATATATATATATATGGTTATGGATATGGATATGGATATAGATATAGGTATATATATATATATAAAATTCATAGACAAAGAACACGACGAAGAGCAAAAACATGTGTTGAGTTTTGATTTGTTTTCTTTGCTTAGATTTGGTTTTGTTTTGTTTTTTTTTTTTAATTATTGTTATATATAATATATATGATATTGAGAGAGATATTTATATATAAATATGCAATGTATATATATAAATGGCAGGTATATAAACGACAGACAAAGAGAGAGAGATAGAGAGAAAGAGAGAGAGAGAGACAGGGCGTATACGTAATATTGTGTTGAAATTATAATTTGAACAGAGAATTTGGAGCTTGGACGCAAGTAAAAGATAGTTAGAAAGTGTGTAACAGAGATAGAGAGAGGGAGAGAAAGAGAGAGAGAGAGAGAGAGAGCGTGTAGCCTGATTGATGTATTTAGGTAATACTATAGAGATATAGTTCGCATTCGATCTGAATGGCTGGGTCAATTTGAGCTGCTCAGAGTGCTCCGAGCGAGAAAGAGAGAGACAGATAGAGAGAGAGAGAGAGTGTGTGTGAGAGAGAGAGGAAGAGTGTGAGTTTCTCAAGTCGAATTCGTTTATATATTACTTTGTTTAAGACCTATCGAAGCAGCAAAAGCATTCACTGAATGGACTTGGAACAGGGTTACGGATTATTTAATGAACGGGGGCTCTGAGGCGTTCGGGTTGGTTGGGAGTGGGGACGCTTGGTATGGCTGGGAGTATTTGCTGGAGACATGGCTATTAAACACTTACCGATTCGTGCGAGGCGCGATAGTCCAGGTCGCCGCCCAGTCCGCCGCCAGCTGATGCCGAACGCGGTTGCATGTGTCTACTGTGACTGCTGTTATCATCCTCACTGCAATCGATCTCTTTCTTGAGGCTCTGCAAAGTTCGAGAGGCGTGAGTAGGCGTTGAGAGAGAGAGAGAGACAGAGAGAGGGGCAGAGAGAGAGGGGAAGACAAAGCTTAACATGGGCTTAACATGGGCTTAACATTCACATTTAACATTAACATTTAACATTTGATCAGAAGACTCAGCTGCGAGCCTGCCTTGGGCGTCTGCTGATAAGATCGGCTGATTCTTAAAGATCATATAGATATATATAATAAAAGACTTTTGCTTATGAGACTAACGAAGCGACTAACGCCCACTCTAGCAATAGGTAGCGGCCTAGGCTGTTGGCCTATGGGGTCTAAGCCATATCTAAATTCTTTCTACGGTCTGCCCTAAAGCAACTTGAGCTGTGGCAGCAGCTGGAGAGGCAGACAGCCTTTCCGGCAATAGCATTTCCAGACAAGGCTCGATAACTGCATGTTATCGATAACTATCGACAGTAGTTACCCTGCTAATGGGTCAGTGCTACGTTTCGAGCTTAGCTTGGGGCAGGCACTTACCAATGGCACCGATTGCACTGGCAAGAGGCCGGCTACGTTGCCGGGATTCAGGAGGCTGCTGGAGCGTCCGTCGGCAGCGGCGTTGCTGCCGTCGCGCGATGAACGCGACGATGGGCGTCCGGATTGCGACATCGACAGACTCAGATCGGAGGCAACGGCATTGCCGCCGCCGCCGCCGCCGCCGCCAGGTGTGGAGCGAGCTGATTCCATGGCGGCGGCTGCTGCTGCTGCTGCGGCTGCTGCGGCGGCTGCTGCTGCCGACGATGAGGGCATCGAGATTAGCGGTGATGGTATAACGGTAGAGCCCGTAGAGAGATCGACACCGCCGCTGCTCATCTTCATGTTGAGGCCCATCTCGTTGCTGCTGTTGTCCGCCTCATCGTCGTCGTCCAGATCCATCTCGTCGTCGTAGTCATCGTCGATCACCTCTGTCTTCGGCTGCAGCCCGCCGCTGGCGCTGGGCGAGTGAAGCAGCGATTCATGCGCTGCTGCTGCTGCTGCCGCTGCTGCTGCTGCTGCTGCGGCCGACGTTGCTGGCTGATCGTGCCGATGCTCATCATCGTCCTCATCGTCATCATCATCATCGTCGTCGTCGTCATCGTTCTCGGTCTGGGCACGCCGCGCACTGTGATGCGCGATGCGTTGCGCGATGTCGCGTGCAGCGGCTGCAGCTGCTGCTGCCGCAGTTCGATGGACAACGATGACGTGATCATCCACATCGGTCATATCATGATCGTCCGGCTCGTCCTCGTCGTCGTCATCAATGTCAACGGCCACGACATGGCTGCTCGGCTCGGGCGTTGCATGCGCTGTGCAGTCGTTGGCGTTGACGTTGACGTTGCCGTTGCCGTTGCTGCCACTGCCGCTGGGCGAGGCGCCCGTTGAGGAGGAGCACGTGGCTTTCATTTGGTTGTTGCTGCTGCTGTTGTTGCTGCTATTGTTGTTGTTGTTGTTGCTGCTGGTGTTGTGGCTGCTGCTGTTGTTGTTGCTGCTGCTATTCTTGCTGCTGCTGTTGTTGTTGCTGCTGCCGTTGTTGTTGTTGTTGTTGTTGTTGTTGTTGCTGCTGCTGTGGCTGCTCGTAGAGCTCTCTGGCGGCATGGCATGTGGCTCAGCGGACGCAGCTGTGGCGGCGGCGGCGGGTCTTTGATAAAGATCTAGCGGCATTGATGTATCCTCTTCCAGCTCCTCCACCAGCTCATCGTCCTCCTCCTCCAGCAGCTCCTCAGCATCATCGTCGTCATCCTCGTCCTCGTCCTCCAGCAGCTCAATGGCTGCTGTGCTGCTGCTCGCTGGCCGCTTTGGCGGCGGCGTCGGACTGCAGCGTTCGCCGGCCTCGCGCTTCGACGCGGACGTCGCTGCTGACGCCTCGGACGCAGCTGACGTTGACGCTGCTGCTGCTGCTGCTGCTGCTTCTGCTGCTGTTGTTGCTGTGCTTGTTGCTGTTGCTGTGGTTGTTGTTGCTGCTGTTGTTGTTTCTGTTGCTGCTGTTTTACTGCTGCCAGCAGCTGTTGTCGCCATATTGTCCGCTGCTGCTGCTGCTGTTGTTGCTGTCGTTGCAGCTGCTGTCGCTGCTGCTGCTGCTGCTGCTGTCGTGGCTGTTGAAGAGCTGGGAGCTGACACCGCCGCTGCTGCTGCTGCTGCTGCGTCCAGTGGACTGTCGGCCGCCTTGCTGCCACTGCCGCTGCCGCCGCTGGCCTGCGAATGGGGACGCAGGCGATCTGGCTCCCGCTCGGGCTCCCGCAGCGTCGTGTTCTGATTTGTCATCTCGGCTAGGCCTTTAACCTGGCAAAGAAAGGGAATTTCAGTTGGATCTCATGGCCCGCTGCCCTCCGGCCTTACCTTCAGTGATTCGGCTGTCTTGAGCAGCGCTGGCAACTGACAATATTGCACGTTCACCTCGCCCTTGTACATGAATTCAACTAGAGTTTGCAGCTCGGCAAAACGGACGTCCTTCAGTATCACAATTGGATGTGGATCGGAGTGCTGCAGAAACAGGCTCTGGAAATACGAGGAGCAGGCCGACAGCACCACCTGCAATAGACAAGCCGCCAGGAGCAAATATCAAGCTAACTGAATGTCAAAGTGCGTGTCAAGTGCTGATCAGCTGATCGACAGCCAATACGATTCGCTTATTGTCTAATGTGAAACATACTTAAAATATCAAATAAATCAATCAAATGTCAACTGGTTCAACTCGCCTCCTGTTGCCTGTTACACACCTTCGCTCTGAGCTCCCATTCACAATGGTTTCGGCACATTGTCAACTATTCAGCTCTTATGTTTACAAAGAGAGACTCTTTACTCTTTGGTTTTGAGTTTCTCCCTGTTCATCCGTTCGTCTATCCGTCCGTCTGTCTGTTCGTCCGTCTTGCTTGCTTGTTTCCGTCCTTCGGTCCATCAGTCCTTAGGTCTGTCTGCCTGCACATACAGGCAATGCGTCCATACATCTGTCAGTCCTTCCATCGTTCAGTCCGCCTGACTGTCCGTTTGTCCTTCCGTCCTTCCGTTGTTCCATTCATCCATCTGTCTATCTGTATTTCTATTCGTCAAATCGTCCAACCATCTGTCTATCTGTCCATCCATGCGTCAGTCTCTCCATCTATCCATCCATCTCTCTCCATCCTCTTGTCCATCCGGCAGTCCGACCGTCCGTCTGTTCGTCTGTCCTTCCGTCCTTCCATTTAACCTTCTATCCACCTGTAACTACAACCGTCCATCCGTCTATACGTCCGTCTGTCCCTACATCTGTTCGTCTGTTCATCTTCCCGTCCATCCGTCCATCCAGAAGTCCCTCTATCCATCCATCCGTCCGTCCGTCCGTCCATCTGTCCATCTGTCCGTCCGTCTCTCCATCTGTTCGTCTGTTCATCTACCCGTCCATCCGTCCATCTATAAATTCTTTTGCCTACCCTTTGAGTCACTTTCGTATATATTGATTTAATATTTATATTATCCATGGATCTTATGAGATAATTATGATATTCAGCTGGAAGCCTTCATATCATTGCAATACCTAAAGGATCTTACTTTTATATTGAGATAATAATACCAATAATAGCCATAGCAATATCGTAACTAACTCTATTTGCGCTCCAGCTATGATCGTCCATGAAATTTGTATTAAATAATTGAAAATCGAATTGAAAGTTTATTGAAATTTATGAAATCGAAGTTCGTAGAGTTGGGAATGCGAATAAATTGAAAGCAAACGCTTAAATGATCCTTGGAGCGTGAGGCTAATCGATAAAATATATCGATTCAACATTAGAAAGCAGTCAGCGAGAGAGAGCGAGAGGGAGGTAGGTAGGGAGAGAGGGCAACGAGGCAACGCTACATTTATTAGATTTACGATCAGCGTGGGGCATCGGCTTCACTTTGAAGATGCTGTGCAGCAACTGTGGCAACTGTGGCAGCTGTGGCAACTGTGGCAACTGGTCAACTGGCTGGCGATTGCTGCGGGCGTCAAGGCGTGAACACGCCACGAATGACAATGCGCTGCCAGCAACAGGAATGGGAGCAGCAACAGCCACAGCAACGGCAACAATCTGGCCGCATATCTGTCGAGTTTTATGTGCGCTTGCACGCCTTGGGGTATGCAATGCCAGGTGAGTGTGAAGAGGGAGAGAGGGCGGCAGGGGTAGAGCGGGATGGCAGCATGTTGTAAATTTTCATGGCTTGGCAAATTGAAAAGGCGTCGGCCTGGCATTTCGCATCTACTCGATTCGGGCCGACTGCCTAATGAGCTTTTGGCTATTGGCCACGTTTCGGGCAGATGTTGGAACGGTCTGGCCTGGTCTGCGCCTGCTCTGCGCCTGTCACGCGCCCCGTTTGCACTAGAATTTATTTAAAAAAATGCAATCGGCGCGCACACGCCCCCAAACGCAAAAGGCCGCAACCAAAATGAGCGCTAATAAATTCACGCGCATATTAGTGGACCCGTTTGCCCCTATATATATATATATATATATAGTTATATAGTGTGCATCTGCAGTTGAGGAAGAAGCAGCAGCAACGGTCTGCGCGTCTGGCATTAAGAAAATCGAATTTCCTGATTACAGCAGGCAGCGGCGCAGGAGAAGGCGCTGTCCAGGCGTCGCAAATTGCCAACACTTTTAATTGAACGCCGCTGTCGACGTCGCTGCCTGCGCTGCCTGCGCTGCTGCTGTTATTATTAACATTGCGGGCATAACGCCCCCAAAGCTAATGAACGCCAAAGGCTTTGATTTCTAACGCCAGGCGCAGTTAGAAAATGTTGCATGTAATTTGCGGCCAAATAGTCAACAACATAAATTGCCATAGATTAAAGCACGCAGCAGCAGCAGCAGCAGCAGCAGCAGCAGCAGCCACTCCATCCAAGTGGGGGCCTGAGCGATCCTCAGATTGCGTGCTCAGTTGTGGGCGTTGCCACACTTTCCCATTGCGGTTCGTATAAATCGTCAACAAATTTAAATGAAATTACCAAAGGCAGCCAACGCCTCGGAGCTGCACGTTCGAGCCAGCCAAATGAACTGGAACTGCAACTGGAACTGGTTCGGGAACTACAGTTGAAACAGCTACTGCCAAGGCTATAAATCACTGCAGCCAACAACAACGACGACGACGACAACTGTTTCAAGGGCAGCTCCTCCAATTAACCAAACGCCGCCCCAGACCAATCAATGAAACTATATATATATATATATATATATATATATCTGATAATTAGAAATATATGTATATATATATATATCTGATAATTATAAATATATATATATATACATATATCGGATAGATAATCTGATTAAGACTAGAGTTCGAATCCCACAGGCAGTTAGCCTGAGGCATAATGAGCTGACGGCAAGAAATAGTAGTAAAAAGTAGCATAAAACGTAGTAAAAAACGCCACAAAAAGTAGTTAAAATTAGCATAAAAAGTAGTAAGATGTAGCAAGTACTAAATGGTAGCAACAGTTATGAAAGGTAGTAGATAGTAATCCATAGTGCTAGATCTATGTGTGCAATAAAAAATTGAACTTAAATCTCTAATGATTTGGCGCTATTTTGTAGTATTTCCTGCTATATATATATTATATTTTTGGTATTTTTTGTGATACTTTTTAGTATTTCTGAGTTTAATATTATTTTGTATATTTTTTAGTATGTTTAGTTTTTAGTATATTATAATTTTGTATTTATGTGCTACATTTTAGTTTTTTTTTTTTGGTATTATGTATTTTTTGTGATACTTTTTAGTATTTTTAAGTTTAATATTTTGTATTTTTTTCGTATTGTTAGATTTTAGTATATTAAAATTGCTTATGCAAAATTTTAGTATTTTTGGTATTTTGTATTCTTTTGATACTTTTTAGTATTTTTAAGTTTAATATTATTTTGTATTTTTTTAATATTGTTACTTTTCAGTATATTAATTTTTTTTGTGCAAAATTTAAGTATTTTTGGTATTTTGTATTTTTTGTGATACTTTTTAGTATTTTTAAGTTTAATATTATTTTGTATTTTTTGTAGTATTTTTAGTTGTCAGTATATTTTAATTTTGTATTTTGTGCTAAATTTTAGTAATTTTTATTATTTTGTTTTTTTTTTTTATTTTTGATTTTTTTTAAATATATGTAGTATATTTTGGTATATTAGTATATTAGTAGTAGAAAGTAGTAGTTTATAGTACTTAATACAAGTATGATAGTAGTAGATGCTGCTAGGTGCTGTGCTGTTAGCAGCATATATAATTGCCAGAGTATTTGCCATAGAGTGGAGTGCGGGAGAAGCGCAAACGAAAATAAAAATATTAACAAAATATTATAATAATAATAATAATGCTGATGATAATAATGATAATGATGATAATAATAATAATCATAATGATAATAAAAATAGCAACAAAACAGAGGAAAATATGAAATTGAAGGTAATCACAATGTTTTGGCACAGCCGCAAATTGTGCGGATCAGCCGGAGGCGTGGAGGCGCCTTTAGGGGCGTGGCACAAGTGGGTGCAGCGGTGCAGCAGTAGCGCAGCAGCAAGCCGCTGCAGCTGCAGCTGCAGCTTAAACTATATTAAGACATAAAAGCAGAGAGAGTGAGAGAGAGATGCAGAGGCAGAGGCAGAGGCAGAGGCAGAGGCAGAGGCTGAGGCAGAGGTAAAGCCAGAGCAAAGGCAGAGATGGAGACAGAGGCAGAGCAGAGGCTGAGGCAGACGCAGAGACAGGCAAAGAGAGAGAGGGAGAGAGAAGTTTGCTGGGAGACAGAGCTGCATGTTGCAAGTTGCACGTTGCAAGTTGCCTTTTGCTGAGCAGCACAACAAAATAGCAGATGGCAAACCAACAACAACAACAACAATGAGATGAGCATTGCCAGCGGCAAATGTTAAATTCCAACAACAACAACAACAACAGCAGCAGCTCAGGTAAATCTATGCACGTTTATATAGAGAGCGCAGGCGATATGCTAACATTATAATTTGCATATTTCGCCGCAGTGTTTTTGGCGACCCAACTCAACGCTGTTGGGTGGTCAAGCAGCAACAACAACAACAACCTGAACAACAACAACAATCAGTGCTTATTTTCAGGGAGTGGCCTTAATAGAAATGTTAACCTTTTGCAACAGCGCCTCAACTTGAGTTATACAGAAATATATAGAAACTATACATAGCTATACAGATGCCTATATGGAAACTGTATATATTGTATGTAATATATATATATATATATATATATTGTATATATTGTATGTAATATATATATATATATTGTATATATTGTATATAATATATAGTACATAGTAGAAAAAACCTCTCAACATTCGCCCAAACTATTTATCGACTGTTTTTTTTTTTGCGTTACCTAAGTTTAAATCGTAAAAAAGTAAACAAATCTATTCGTAATATAGTTAAAATGGACATCATTGGATAGAACATTTAATGACATTAGTTTGGAAAAGCCTATGTGAGGCTTGCGCAATCTGGAACATCGATTTGCGCAATCTGCCCACGGCTCTGCCAGCCCCTGGGCTGTAATGGGATTTCGTCAACAAC